CAGTTTATGATAACCCCGGCTTTGGCAGTAACGGCGCACTCCGCGCAGGGCCGGACCATGGGAGCAGTGATAGCGGACCTTGAAAGAGGGCGCGGCGTGAGTTGGATGTCAAGTTACGTTGCCATCACTCGCGTGCGCAGACGGGAGAATCTGCTGATTTTCCGGCCGTTTGACAGGAGGCCGTACAACGCAGGTGAGATGCCAGGCACGAAGAAACTTTTGCAGGCACTACGAGGGGAGAGCGTGGATTGGGATGAGTGGGAGGCGGAGTTGATGCCAAGAGACCAGTGCGAGCGCTGCCGGCGGAGGTTGCTGGTAGAGGCGTTCTCGAAGTACGAGTTCCAGAGGAAGGAAAGGCCAGCGTTCTGCAAAGAGTGCACGGAAGAGATGAAGAACGCCGACGAGAAATGGTGCACCACGTGCAGAGGGTGGGCAACGAGAGCGGAGGGTGAAGATGCGACGCGGCACGGTGACGATCGGAGTGGGGGCGCAGCGGCCGGCGGCGGAGAGCCAAGAAGGGTTCGGACAATGTATTGCGCGAAGTGCAGCCATGTCAAAGCCAAGCAGAAGTCGCGGAGCGGCAACGCGAAGTGGGTCGAGTGCGTCGGCAAGGTGCGATGTACGAACGGTAAGTGCCTGTCGCTGTATGACGCAAAGGCGGATATGTCGGAGGCTCAGAAGAAGCAGAACGCAGCGGGCCAGAGGTTGTGTCGGAAATGCGCCGCCGAACGTCAGAGGACGACGCTAGTGTCGAATAACAGGAAACGCGCGATCACATTGCGGTGTTCGAACAGCGACTGCCTGTCGGAGTTCCAAGAGGAGGCGGGGGTGTCCGAAGCTCAGAAGAAGCACAAAGCAGCAGGGGAGAGGTTGTGTCGGAAATGCGCGGAAGAACGAGATAGGGCGACGCGCGAGTCGAATAATAAGAAACGGAAAGCCGAGGCGGACGCGAAGCCGCTGACGTGCGCGGCGTGCGGAGGAACGTTCTCGGACACGAGACATTTGACGCCTAACCAAGTGGAACATCATCGAAAGACGAAAGGAGCCAAAGTGGTGTGCGGAGGCTGCAAGGAACTCGGGTTCACAGCTCGCAGTTGCCAGGCGTATCAGTGCAGCGGCGCGTGCAAGAGAAGACTACCGAAGTCGGCGTTCCCCGACCCGCACAATGTCCCGCGCGACGCAAAGAAAGGCACCCTGAAGTGCAACGCCTGCAAATGATGCCGAATCGGGCGCGCGTACTGGGGGGAAAAAGGAAAACGGGGACAGGGGAATGCGGGATGAGGCGGAGGAGACAGGGGAGAAGCATCGAAAATGACGAAGTGAAGCGGGCCAGGTTCACAAGAGGAGGGGGACGAGGAGGAGTGGGCCGAGGAGAGGGTGGGGGAGGAGGAGGAGGAGGAGGAGGGGGACACTGAGATGAGGCTCTGGGTTATGGTCTATGTGTGAGAGGTTCTTGTATGTGTATCGGGATTTGGCGGCACGCCTTTCGGGGGCCTCTGGACAGCAGTTTTGCATCCACTGGGGGGCCGAGGTGGAAAAGGCGGGTGAGGAGGAGGAGGGGGGGGACACGGAGGAAATGATCTGGGTCATGGATTATGGGTTCTTAGCCTTGGGAGCGCGAATCCCGCTTGTGCGGTGATCGCTGGGATCTCTTGCGGGGCTTCTCGCGGGACTCTTGGAGGCAGTTTCGAAGCCTGTTGGGGGCCGTTTTGGGGCCGTTTTGAAGCCTCTTGGGGGCCTCTTGGGGCCTCTTGGGGGCGTCTTTGAGGCCTCTTGGGGTCTCTTGTGGCCTTCTACGGCCGTTTTGGGGCGGAAGGCTCGGATTGTCGGTTCGGGCTCCCCCTCTTGGGCCCCTCTTGTGGCCGTCTTGGGGCCCTCTTGGGCCGTCTTGGGAGCCTCTTGAGCTGTCTTGGCGCCCTCTTGGGCCGACTTAGGCGCCTCTTGGGGGTTTCTGAGGCCGTCTTGGGGCGGTCTTGGGGTGCTCGTGGCCCGTCTTCAACCCCGTGAGGGCCGACAAGTCGGAAATGATCAAAATGTACGTTTTACCATAGGAATTTGACGATTTTCGGCTCGTCGGCTCTTCTGAGGACTGCTCTTGGAGGCCTCTTGGGCCGTCTTGGAGGCCTCTTGGCTCGTCTTGGGACCATCGTGGGCGTCTTGGAGCGCTCGTTTGGCGTCTCGGGGCCATCGTGGGCCGTTTTGGAGGCCTCTTGGGGCCTTCTTGGCTCGTCTGGAGCCCCTTTTGGGCCCAAAAGAGCCCCGTGAGTCGCTCGTGCCGGGCCGGGGGGGGGGGCCATCAGGGGGGGGTCAAATCTCCGGTTTGGGGTCCCTGGGGGGGGACTATAGGGGAGGGGAACTATCTCACACGCCTAGAGACCCACAAGGGGTCGGCGGATTTGTTTGTCGTTGAGGGCTCCCTGTAGCGGAGCCGGGCAGGCGGTGACGCCGATGGCCGTGAGGAGGGCCAGCCGCCTCTGCCTGATCCCCTTTCCTCGGCAGGTTCCCTCGAGGGGCCAGGGGCTCGGCGACCGTCGACGCAGGGAAGTCGCAGCATTTCCGAGAGCCTTGCGCGGTGCGGATCGGGTGGCGCAGCCACCGCCTTCACAGACCGCACGGAAGGCTCGGGGGCCTCAGCCGTCGCCTCCGCCGTCTCTGCCAGCCTTCGTGCTGACGACGAGCCAGTACGTGCAGCAGGCTGCCCCAGGGCTGGGCTGCAAACGAGCAGGAAGCCCACCGAATCCAGGGAGGTGTGAGAGCGTGGACGGCCGCCCCGAAGCTGGCGCCTGGAGAGCCAGAGCTTGTCCTGGTGCCCGGCTCCTCCCTCTCCGCTCCCGCTTTCTCCTTCCTCCTTTCCCTTCGGAGAATACAGTCGAGTCTGATTAGCAGGGTCGACCCAGGCAAATCCAGGGTACCCTTGTGTCCTGCGTTTCGCGACCCATGCTTCCTACATTCCTCTCGGGAGGGTCTGAATCAGACTCCGCGTGTGGCTGAGGTGTGTGGCAGTGGCGAGCCTCGGCTTCCGCCCGCCCTGCCCGTCCTGCCAGAGCGGCTTGTGGATGTTGTGGATTTCCCTTCTTCGCGCGTGCCCGACTCTGCTTGTACAGCTCGTGTCTGGTGGCAGCTGCGGTTCGACCGCGTTCGGCATCTCGCTTATTTCTCCTTCTTTCCCACCCTTGCGCTCTCCCTCTCGCTCGTTCCTTCCGTTTCACATGCGGCACGCTCGTCCATCCTTCAGGCCACAGTTCAGCGCATGTGTTTGCCCGTCGCAGGTCGGTTCGTGTGGTGTTCCCGCTTTGCCCGTCGACCTTCTGAGTCGCACAGCGGTCGAAGCCGAGTCGGGTGAAGTGTTGTGGTCGCTCTCCTTCCTCCTCTTCAAAAAAAGCAGCAGCAGCGACGACGACGACAGCAGCAGCAGCAGCAGCAACGAGAAGACATGCGGCAAGCTGCCCCAGGGCTGACCTCGCGTGGCTCCTGGAGCGCGCACTCGCGCCCCCTGGCGGCGAGGGAGGCCCAGCGCCGCCGAGCGGGGGCAGGGCGAGAGCCTCCCGAGGGCCCCGCCCGATGCGGGGGCTCGGGCCGACACGGGCACGCACCGGAGACGGCTCAGGCGATCGCAGAAACAGGTCAAAGGGGGCGTGGATCAGCGACGGGCCCCGTTTCCACGGGAAATCGCGGATTTCCGCCGCCGAGCGAGGCGGCGCCGGCCGCATTTCGGGGATGGCACCTCCCCCGATCCATGGATTTGGCGACCGCGCGCCAAATCCATGGATCGCTAATCCGTGTTTGCGCGACCCCGAGACGGGCACGCTCTGGAGAAGGTGCCACCAGCTTGCGGCTGGGGCTCACGCAACGGCTACGCTTAGGTTGGGCGTGTCCCCCTGCAGGCGGATTTTGGACGAACAATGAAAAATAGTCTAACAAATATACCAAAAATGCTCAAGAATACTCAAAACATAGTCCCCCGACTATTTGTTCACTACTTTTGAATATTCCCCCTGTGGAGGGGCAGGCCCGACTTCAGGCTACACGTAAGAGTGACCCTTCGCCGGAGTGACCTTCTGGTGCGGGCTCACATGGGTCCTCCCAGCATGGGTCGGCGCGCTTGGATTTGGCCTACCCGCGGCCCCCCGCAGCCGCGCACCAAAGCCCACCCTTGCCTCGGGCCACTCTTGCGTGCAGTCGAACGTAACGGGGGTCAGCGCTGACGGGGATCAGCCAGTCCCTTCTGGCTGACCCCTGGCCCGGGGGCCACGTGGGGCCGATTCCTTTTTCTCCGCCCTCCCCTGTGCTCGGGAGCTGCTGAGCGGCCGACCGGGCTTCGCGACAGGGCCCTGGCCGACCCAGGTTTGGGGCTGACCCGGGTCAAGGTCAGAGTGAGTCCGCGATTTGAGGTGGAGCTCGGTCGGCAGCCAGACACCGCGGAGGGGGGCAGACATTTCCGCACCGCGATCTCGCCTGGTGCATGTGCGGACTGCGCGTGGTGTACACCTTGGGCGATGCTTAAGAAAACGTAAGGTTTCGGCCAGAGACTCGCCTTTTCTTACTGTTTCGATGTAAAGCCTAAACTTTGAATAGGATCTTTGGGTTTTTATTCAAATCCTGAGACCATGAATTTCTTAACCCATGATTTCTTAAGCATTTCGCAGGGTGTCTTCGGTCCCTCGTGTTTCCCGCCTCTCTAAACGACGAGCGCGCTGCGGCGCAGAACATGCCGTTGGAGAATTACGTCAAAGGAGGAGGGCCAGTCCCCGGTGAGTGCCCCGGGGCGGCTTCCTCGGTGCCCAGGACGCCAGGTCGGCACGGCAAGAAGGAAGGATACGAAGAGGCTTCAGAGGGTCAGGAGAGGTAGGCGACGAGCAGGAAAAAGAGAAGGAAGACGACGACGACGACGACGACGACGACGACGACGACAAGAGCTATAACGAGCGGGTCAACAGCGCTCCTTCCTCTTTCGGCGCTGTCAGGCGCCGAGGAGGCCTCTTTTACTTCCCCCCGTGAAGGATCGCGTGCGGATGCGACAGGAGGAGATCCAGTCTCTGAAAGAGGCGCTCAGGACATTCGGGGGTGCGGGGGAGGGACTCAGAGAAAAGGAGGGAGGGAGGAAGGGAGAGGGCGGCGAGGGAGAGGGGATAGCAGGAGGATGGCGGGGAGGAACGAAAGGAGCTGGATCAAAGACGCTTGTGGCGAACCACCGCCGCTCCCTGCCTTTAGGAAAAGCCTATGTGGCCAAAACGTTGGGGCAAAGTTTGGCGAAGGTACTGGACCAGGCATTCTCCCAGCCGTGATGGAAACCTTTGGAGAGAACCCTTGAGGGGGGAAAGGGAGAGGGAGAGACGAAAGAGGATAGGAGGACGAGGAGGAGAGAGAGGACGAGCGTGAGGAGAACTCTCGGGGCCCCTCTTGGAGTTCCTCTTGGGGGGCTCTTCGGAACCTTTCGGGGCTTGCTGGGGGCCCCTAAAAGGAGCCTCTGCAAGGGTGCCTGCTGAGACCGTGGGGGCCTCACCGAGCCGTCCTGGGGCCTCATGTGGGCAAGGTACGGCCGTGTCGGATGTATATGGGATCGTCTTGGGGCACTTTTGATGTATTTCGGGAGGAGAAAAAAACACACAGGCATAATGAATCGTCGATTCCCAGGAAAATATGGGAAGTGGGAGGGAATACGAAAACACAAAATATGGGAAAATTGTTGGGAGTCCTAGGATTTATGAGTTTGTGTGTGTGTCTGTGGGCCCCTGCAGTATTGGGGGTCTCTTGGGCAGTCTTGGAGTTCTCTTGGGGGCCTCCTGGGTCTCAGTGGCGCAGCTCGCGTGCGTCACCCCCACCCAGTACAGCGCTTCGTGGCCCCAGAGGGAGCTCCACCGAAGGCCTCAACGGCACCGCCCGCATGCGACACCCCCACTCAGTACAGCGTTTCGTTGCCCCAGAGTGAGCTCTACCGAAGGTCCCAGTGGCGCAGTTCGTTTGCGTCTCCCCCGCCCACTGCAGTGCGTCGTGGCCCCATAGGGAGCCCCACCGAAGGCAGTTGGCACGACTGTCCCCCACCCTGTACAGCGTTTCGTGGCCCCGTGAGGGCTCCGCCGAAGGTCCCAATGGCGCAGTTCGCATGTGTCCCCCCCACCCAGTGCAGTGCTTCGTGGCCCCATAGGGAGCCCCAACGAACGCAGTTCGCATTAGTCTCCACCCAGTACAGCGTTTCGCGGCCCCGTGGGGATCACCAGGACCTTCGGTGGAGCTCCCTCTGGGGTCACGAAACGTTGTACTGGGTGGAGGAGACGCATGCGAACTGCGCCACTGGAACCTTCGCTGGAGTTTCCTCTGGGGCCACGAACTGTTGTACTGGGTGAGGGAGGCGCGAACTGCGCCACTGGGACTTCGGTAGAGCTCCGTATGGGGCCACGAAGCGCTGTACTGGGTAGGGAAAACGCATGCGGGCTGCGCCACGGTGGAGCTCCGTGTGGAGCCGCGAATCATGTGAGGGTCGTGCCGACGCTGATGTCGATGATGGTGATGAAGACGGCGATGATGATGACGATGATGGTGATTATGACGGCGATGATGATGACGATGATGATGACGATGACGGTGACGATTGTGATGGTGGTGATGATGATGTTGATGATGATGATGATGACGACGACGATGATGATGCTGATGATGATGATATTGATGATGATGATG